GTTTTTCTTTTAACTCATATTTGTGCGCAGACAACACGCTCGACCCGGGGATGTACATAACGGGCGAATCGGAAAAACCAAAACTTCAAACAAAATTTACTGCAAGACAAAATGTCCAATTTGATGTGTGGCCCAATTACAGTTTGACCGGGATTTGACCTACACTGATGTAATATAACGGCTGCATGAGGAAAAACACAAACTTGAAACAAGTTTGAGAAAAACTCTACCACACACGACCAAACTGCTGCTGCAGGGGGTGTCAGCTTTCACAGGCATACCCCCAAACTGCCGCTAAGCGTTTATTGGAGGAGGATAGCGTCAGACCCATTTTCCCAGACCCACCTCCTCTCATTCTTAGCTCCAACTTTCTCATTCTCACAGAGTTTCTTTCAGTCTCGCGCAGCACAGCTCTCAGCTCACAGCTCTCCAGCATTGCTCTCTCCGAGTCCTTTGCGCTAAGCCCAAGTACACTCTCCGCCGGACCGACTGGGACCTTCCCAAGGTACCGCTCCACAGGCACCCCCGGCGTACGCTCACACTCCATCAGGTAACCGACCCACTCAGCTCCGTGCTCGGCACCATCAGCCTCATAGCACGGGGTTATTCCGACAAAACCCCACTCATAAGCACACAATTCACTCTCCTCAAAAGAAAATAATAAAATAATAATAATATAAAATACATTTAAAAATAATAATAATTAAAATAATTTAAAAAAATAATCATAAATACATATTTAAAAAATAATAAATAATTAAAAAACACACCCTCTCCCAACGTCACTAGTCGTGACGTCACCTGGCTCCGCCCCAGACCCGCCCACCCAGTGAACTTTTGACCCGTGACTTTTTTGACCTTTAGGTCATAAATCTTTTTGAAAGAAGCGGCATTCTCCATCTCTCTGGGGGTTACATTTTTGAAAATATAGCACCATGTAATTAAAAGAGCAGTTGTATAAGTTGGATTCAAATATAGTGAATGATAATGCAGATGTTGGGCTCTATTGTACTGATACCCAGAGGTGGGTATCGAGTGACATAGGACAGCAGAGTACAGCATTAAAATTCTGTGGCTTTTCAGGTCCTCAACCACCCGGTTCCAGTCGGCTGAATGTCACAGAATACCTGACTACCTTTTTCTAGCTAGCTGAATCTTGATTACTTCTATTTTGCTTCAGACTACCAATTTTACCTTGCATCCTTAAGGTTCTACAGGCATGTAATCCAGGGTGTCTGCAAGCTTTACCATCTGCTTCCTGGGTTGGGCTACTGGTCGATCTCCATCCTACAATGCATAAGTATATCTGCAAAACAGATGAATTAATAGATTTGACTGTCTGAACCAGATCATGTAGTCATGCAATCATTAAAATATACATGTAGATGTAAAAAAACAACCCCAAGGTATATGGAATTAGGTTTTGTTTGAGTGGATTGTTGCGATTTTGTCCAGATCAAGTCAAGTATATATTTTCTGTAGTTTAGCATAGTGGTTCTCAACGTTTTTGACTCAATTTTTACCATGCCAGCTCAGTCACGACCCAATATCAAGTACAGTGGTACCTCAGTTCTCAAACTCATTAGAACGCGAATATCTTAAAAGTCAAACCAACCAGTTCGAAAAAAAATTACCTAGAGCTCGATCTGAATCTTACACTAACTGAATACATATATTTAGACAATGACAGACAGTAACAGTAATTATCATATAATAAAATACATTTAAAAATAAAGATTTCTTATTCATCCATCCATCCATTATCTATACTGCTTTATCCATCAGGGTCACGGGGAAGCTGGAGCCAATCCCAGTATCATCGGGCGAGAGGCAGGGTACACCCTGGGCAGGTCACCAGTCCACCACAGGGCCAACACAGACAAACAGCCACACACACTCGCAGTCATGCCTATGGGCAATCTAGAGTAGCCAGTTGACCTAACCTTAATGTCTTTGTACTGTGGGTGGAAACCGGAGCACTTGGAGGAAACCCACACATGCACAGGGAGAACATGCAAACCACCACAGAAAGGCACGCTGGGTGACCTTGGGATTGAACCAAGGACCTTCTCACTGTGAGGCAACAGTGCTAGCCTCCGCACCATCGTGCCGCCCCATTTTTTGTATTCATTATTTTAATATTAATAATAACCCATTAATAAGTTTGATTATAATAATATTGTTGTGCTGAGCGGGGACGGAACGGAGACAAAGGCGTGGACGTCAGGGTATCGGGGAATACGGGGTTTAATTACAGGTAAGGCAGGCAAAACGCAGACGGACAATACAATGACCGGACTGGGGAAACAAACTGAAACGCGGACAAAATACAGAGGACTAATGATAACAACCAGAAACAGCTGATCACACGGGGATTCCACACGGGATTAACGAGGGGGCGTGACACACGGAAGGAGCAGACAATCGGGACAGGACACATTGTTTGGATACATTTATTTTCTTACTTTACAAATTACTGTTTTGATAAATGTGCTTAGATGTATCTAGTACAGTATATGCTCTTCTTGTTTTATCTCGTTCATTTTGTTTTTAAATGCTAAAAAAAAACATATTTAAGGGTAATTTTTTGGGGCCCGGAAACCAATTAATTGGTTTTCCATTATTTCTTATGGGGAAAATTCGATCACAACTCGAACTTTTTAGGATTCGACCTGGAGTTCTGAATGAATTAAATTAGAGTTCTGAGGTATCATTGTATAGGTTTAAATTAATGCTATGATCAGTGCTATGATCTGCAGTTTTTACCAATCAATGCCTATTGCACAAATCTGATTGGATTGATTTTAAATTAAGCTTCTGTGGTTTGGCTTCTTGTTCACTAGTTTTACACTAAGCATTTGCAGACCCAAGACCTGTTTACATAGGTTAATTTGAGGATTGGGGCTGGGAAATCTGATCGTGGATCAGCATAGGAACTTGTTAGTTTTAAAATGCTTACATTTCCAACTCTACCTCGCGACTCTTTCAGAACTTGCTGACCCATGGGTTGAGAATCGCTGGTTTAGCACTAGGTTAGCATTTTTATGGTTAAACAACTGCAGGGAAATAAAGAGGATGACTTAATAGCTCTGTCTGAGAGTTCTTTATTGGTCAGCCTACAGCTCATATATCCCAAAATGAACTGAACCGAATTCCCAAATATTGGAGGGGAGATCTCTTGTGTTGGATGTTAACTGGGTATCCATCCATCCATTTTTTGTAACTGCTTGTCCTGTTCAGGGTCTCTGTTCAGCCTATCCCAGAGGCTACGGGCGCAAGGCAGGGAACAACCCAGGTTGGGGCGCCAGCTTATCACAGGGCACACTCAAACACTGTTCACTCACACAGTCACACATAAGTACTATTTGGTAACTCCAATGCACCTCTGCACATTTTGGACCTCAGGTGGGAAAACCAGGGTTTAAAACCCCATGATGACACAGGGAGAATATGCACACTCCATATACATGGAACCCTGGTGGAGACACCCAGAGGTGTGAGGCAACAGTGCTAACCACTGCACCACCATGTTGCCCCCTAATTGGGTATCCATCCATCCATATTCCATTATCATTATTTAGTGCTGGGTCATTGTGAGTTCAGAGCAAATCCTGGAAAGCACATGACTTGGCATCCTGGATCAGATGCTACGTCATCACTGTAGGGGATGTCATCATGCAGAGAACTCCAAGAGTATAAAATTACAAGTATTAAAAATGCTTAAATGATTAAAAAACCTCAGCCTCTCAGCCTGAGTGGGAGTACTGGCCATTCTGCCTTGTAGCCGAATGTAGGGTATCTAAACATTCCCCATGTTTGTTTCTTTTTTTAATGCAGCGGCTCCACATACTGGCCCATTGTGTGTTATAAATAACATTTGTTGAGGTCCAGTTAGTGATAACATCACACTTCATGGTGACTGCCTGCTTCCTGCAGTCCCGCAGCCAGCTGCTGAAGCACGCTAAAGTCATTCGGAGCAGCCTGATGAATTAGAGTTTTCAAGGACACAAAAATAGCGAGGTCATCTTGCTTTCCAGTCACCTAAGTCCATGTAAAGATGGAGATCAGGGAGTGGTGTGCTAACAGGCTTAACAAAGGACACTGAAAGCAGCATGTGGAAATGGTTTCGCTTACAATTTCTTTTGAATGGAAGTGGCTTGGCAATGCCTTGATTCAGTGGACCTGGGTTATAAGTAGGTTTGAATCAGCAGCCTATTACAAAGCTCTGATTTGAGGAGTTTGGCAATTTTCATTATAATGGGGATTTCAAATCACTCAGGCGTTAATGTAAGACTTTTAGACTATATCTGGAGTAGCCTGTAGTTCTGTCGGCTAAGACTTTACATCTATGATTGGAAGGTATCTGATTCAAATCCCATGGTTGGTAGAGCGGTTTCTCTGTTGGGTCAATGAGTAAGGCCCTTATCCCCTTGGTCTTCCAAATGTATGTCACTTTGGATAAAATCATCTGTTAAATAAATGTAAATATTACAGTTCAACTGCCTGTTAATTTTTTTAATGTCACTCTTGAATCTTTTCTTGAATGTAGTTTTCAGTTTGTGTTATGCTGTGCAATTGAACACTTTGGTTTAAGGTAGACATGAAGAATGTGTAGAGCAGGAGTGACCAATCTTATCCGCAAAGGGACGGTGTGTATGCAGGTTTTCGCTGCAACTCCCTAATTAGGTCACTAATTATAGGACTGATTGGCTGAAGAGTCCTCACACCTGGGTTTGAACAGCTGACCTAAAGGTTATCCCAAAAATCTGCATACACACCAGCCCTTTGCAGATAAGATTGGCCACCCCTGGTGTAGAGGCTCTGGAAAGCATGTTTTAATTTGTACCCAGCTCATGTCTGAGAGACGTGACTAAGTGTGCAAATAATCATGCTAGCAAAGCAATTAAAATCTGAGGCTGAGTGTGAATCTGGATGTGCTGCTGAGAACCCAAGGAGTGGTAGAGCTTGTGATGAGATGCCTTTACCTTCTGGCCCCCCAGGTGATGAAGACGTATCACATGTACCACACAGAAAGCATGAGTGCCGAGTGCAAACTGAAGGAAGCTGAGAAGCAGGAAGAGAAGCAGGTGGGGCGAGCAGGGGACCCTGTCTTCAGCATCCGCATGGAGGACAAGTATCAGAGGCGCAGCTCCATGAAGCGGATCGAGAAGATGAAGGAGAAGGTCTTCTTAATGTCATTCCTGTAGTATATGATGATGTCTATACCTGTGTTATGGCACATCAGGCCATATGGCTCAGAATAAGACTTGTTTAGTGTTCACTGTCAGGAAGACTGTGTTTCCTTTGAGTGCACACGTCTGTCCAAATCACCTCAAATTGATGGGCATATGAAAATATTTAGGTTAAAACCCTTTGTCAAGTCCTAGGGGAGGCCAGAGACCCAAACCAGTGATCTTTGGGTCATACATTCTGATTAACCACTACTGTACAAACTACCCATTTTGGTTATTCATTGAGAGAAGACATCGTAAAATATCTGTGCCCATTAGCACCCCCTCCAGGAGGTACTTCTGTTTCATGTAAAACCTAGACACTTAAACCAGGAAAAAGTTATTCTAAAAACAGCTGTTTAACAGGCTAATAAAAAGCAAGTACAGTTTGGTTCATCAGGGTATGTGTTAATGCAGAGTCCATAATAGATTCTGTAAGTTGACATCATGCTTTTAAGTGACAGCAAATTGCACTGGTCTAGACTGCTCGCATCTGATGAGCCTTGGGTTATCTGGAGCTCATCTGGGAAATTGCTATCTGTGCTGAGAAACGCCATCCCCTCACAGGAGAAAGTGGGATTGTGTTTGAGCCTCCCACTGCCCAACATGAAGGCCTAGGTGGAGTGAGGTGCAGGTGTTCCATCCATGAGGAAGAGGTTCTGCAGGGACTTTGTGTATCAAAACTTCATTTTTGCTTCTCTGGGCCATTTTCTCAACATGCTGGTCTCTTTAGAAGCTCTGCTCGTCAGCCAGTCATCTAGGACTAATGAAGGCTTTGAGGAACACACAAATTACTGTTACCTTTGTTCTAATATCCCTTTAATCTGATTTTCCTTCTCCTGCTCATCAGCGCCAGGCCAAGTACTCTGAAAACAAGTTGAAGCTAATCAAAGCACGGAATGAGTACCTTCTAACTCTAGAGGCAACAAATTCCTCCATGTTCAAGTACTACATTCATGACTTGTCTCATTTAATTGATGTAAGTATGGAAGAATATCACATATTTATTCTGTTGACTGGCATTTTCTCTTCACTAAAAGAATAATACTGACAATTTCCTTCTTAAATCCTCCCAACTCGCCTTGTCAGGGAAAAAATTCAAGTGAAAGATTCCTCCCTGTATCCCCTTCTGCAAACAAAAGTGTGAAAGTGGCTGTGCTGCATAGAAAGTGGTTTTATTGAAACTGGTTTCCAAATCGGTTTGTCAGTAAAACGTTGTGCCAACTGAAAGTGTAACCACCATCCCTGAAACAGCAGTATTTTCTGGGGATAAATGTCCACTTTATTACCATTTTGTGCACTTCCCTCTGACCATGGAAAAAATGACTTAAACATGTAGGAGGGTCAGGTGCACTGGTGCATTGGACATATTCCTCATTAATTCTTCATGCTACTGCTAATTCAGTACAAGAAAAGAATTTCATTAAAAGTACAGTAGGCCCATTCATAGAACACACCATCGTCAAGTATCAAACACTCTCCTGTGGACAAGGAATGGTAAATAATACACTGAAAACACTGAACATGTCACATTTGATGAATTACTCTTTTGCATCACCCAATGAAGACTAGTATAGAGACTGACAATCCTCTACTGATGTATATTTTGAGGGGGAATGTGTTGGGCCCTTCCCTTAATGACCTCAAGGTGTCTGCGGGGTATTAAGTCATAAATTCGAGTTAAACCTTGAAAGGTCTTAAATTTAAGTTTTCTAAATGAATTTTTTAGTCTGATGTTGAAAAATATTTAATTTATGTTTAAATGTGACTGACTCAAGGCTTACTACAAAGTCAGTTTAGCCTGCTTAGCTGGATTACTTGGTGTTTAACACCAATTTTTTTGTGTTTGTGCTAAAGTAGGATGGGCTATAGCTGTCAGAACTCTTGTTACCTAGTTATCTTCTGCATGGCTTCGTCTTTGAAATTAAAATATTCAAGGATCTGCCACTTTTACATGCTGGGAATGTTGGAGAATGGGACATTAAATGTCTTAATCTAAGTCCATTTTTCCTTTGGGTTGACCGAAGGTACTTGCTAGGAAGATTTCTCATAGTCACCCATGCCTTGATTGTCACTTTGTAGAGTTTGATTTATTATTTACGAATCAATTTTTGGACATTTTTTTAAATCAAACTTGAATGAAAAGTGGGTGTAGTCACTGTACTGTAAATGTATGGGTATGGATTCTACGCATATTTCCGCTTACAGTTTGGTCTTAAATTCGGCTTGAAGTGGTATTTACAAAGGTCTGAAAAAGTCTTAAATTTCACATCACTATCTCTGCAGACACCCTGGATCTATAGATTGATGGGGAACATTTAGGGCCCTTCCTCTAGTGATCTACAAATTGAAGGGGAATGTGTAGAGCCCTTTGCCTAGTGATCTGCAAATTGAGGGGGCGAACATGTAGGGCACCTTTTCTAGTGATCAAGAGATTGAGGGGGAACATGTAGGACTCTTCCACTAGTGATCTAGAGAATAAGAGAAGAACGAGTTGAGCCCTTCCCCTAGTGGTATACAGTTTGCTCAAAAGTAATACATTATACAGTGGTTTTTATGAATTTGCCTAATACAGAAAAGATCTCTGCCCCAGAAACCAGTTTTTGTAAGTGGTTGTCTGTTTCAGCCGTGGTGTGTCAGTAAATTCTGGACCACCTTGTGGTGTTACACTCCCAGCTGGGTCTCTGTTTTCTGCCCTAGAACCGGTCCATGAAAATGGGTCATATAATTATGAGACATATTCTTTTTTAACCTCAAGAATAAATATTCCATTCCTAGCCATGTTGGTAGTGCTTACAAAAGTGTAGCAGCAAGGTCAGTTGAGCTCTGATTTCCCATTACAGAGAGATAGATCATGACTGGTGACCCTTGTGACTCACTAGTCTTCTCCCAAATCCCCTGACCTCCTCAGCTGAGATGATTCCTTTTTCCCCAGGTATAAAAATGAGCTTTGGGTCACCATGGTGATCATCTGTCCTTCAAACCTGAATAAGTGGGAGTCTGACTGGCTGGTCTTATTCTGTTTAAATGTTTTTATTAGTGCTGTCAAACGATTAAAATTTTTAATCAGATTAATCACAGGGTTGCTGTGGATTAATTTTGATTAATCACGATTAAATATCATTCATTTTTAATCTTTATTAATCGCATTTCATTTTTGCATGAGCAAACAGACTCAAGAAAAAAGGGAATATATATGCACTTAACATGTTTATTGAACATCTTGAACACATGCACTGTCACATGCACTGCATCTTGAACACCGTCTGCCACAGAAGTGCAATACCATGGACCCATATCAAAAAGCAAGATTTTTTGCTTAGCCGGACAACTTGTTGGATTTAAGGTACCTCAGTTTAAATGGCCTTTATCTTC